CTGTGAGGGTGTTTTTGGGTGAGATTGACATTTAAATTGGTAGACTCTGTGTAAAGCAGATTGCCCTTCATAATGTGGGTGGGCCTCATCCAATCAGTTGAAGGCCTGAACAGAACAAAAGGCTGACTCTCCCCACTCCCTGCAAGAAAAACTCTGCAACAGATGACTTTCAGACTCAAACTGGAACATATACTCCTCTTAGTTCTTCAGATCAATGGCACTGATGGCCTTTGGATTTGAACTATAACCTTAGCTCTCCTGGATCTCCAGCCTGCTTGCCAATCCTGCAGATTTTGGACCTGCCAGCATCCATAACAGCACAAGCTAATTCTTTATTCCATCTTTTTCTCTGGAGAACTCTGACTAATACAGATGCCCTCTTCTCATTCTTGGATGAATTATCGGTCAGGTTATCCCTACTCCATTCTCATTTCTTGACATGTCTGCAACACATGGCATTTCTACTTGCCCCAGCCTGGAAAGAAAACCCTCATACACGTGTCTATCCTAGCAGCTGTCATATGTCAGTCTTCCTATTTGTTTACTGCAAACTGTGTGCCCCTCAAGGGCAGAAAGCATACTTTGTTTTTATGTCCACACTGCCCAACATTTTGATCATTGCAAAGTCCAGGAAAAACTGCACAATTCCAAATTAGACTAGGACAATTAGCTTACATGATGTACTTTTAATAGAAAAGATTTTTAAAAATTATAAATAATCTAATGCTTAAAAATCAGGAAATGACAGTAAATGATCACACGTAATGATGGTGTATTACCATGAATAAAATGTCAAATATGTTTAGTGCTTTGGGATATTTTCATGAGGATAAAACAAAAAATACAAACAAACAAACAAACAAACCCAGAAAGGAAGGGTCAGAAGTAGACCAGAATACATACAGGATTTTAGAACACGATAAAGGTTGCAATGTAATTTAGTGGAGAAATGACGGTTTCTGTTCATTAGAAAGAGTCTTACCTTTCTTATAGAACCTGTGCAGATCAGTGACTCTATGATTAGGGGAAATGCAGAGCCCTGGAAACAGAGGGAGATGTCCCTCCACCCTTCTGCCACATGGCAGGCATGCAGCTTTGGGACCTGAGAGACTGGGACCAAGGTGAGGTAGGTGGCCTCACGTGCAAGGCCTGACCATACTCTCCTTGCCCTAATCCTGGCCTGTTGATCTTGCCTTTATTTAAAATTAAGAATAAAATTTATTTTATTTATCAGGGATTTTCTAAATTAATTTTGATTTTTTAAAAAACATACTGCTTTACTACAGCAAAATAAAAAGTTTTCGGCAGCAAAGTAAACCATCAACAACACAAAAAGGCAACCTACTGATTGGGAGAAGATATTTGCAAATGATACATCCAATAAGGGGTTAATATCCAAAATATATGAAGAAAATATACAACGCAACCCCTCAAAAACAATCCAGTTGAAATGGGCAGAGGACCTAAAATAGACATCTTTCCAAAGAAGACATATGGATGGCCAACAGACACATGAAAAGATGCTCAACATTACTAACCATCAGGGAAATGCAAATTAAAACCACAATGAGATATCACTTTACACCTTTCAGAATGGCTAAATTCAAAAAGACTAGAAATAACAGGTGTTCATGAGGATGTGGAGGAAAAGGAACCCTTGTGCCCTTTGGTGGGAATGCAAACTCATGCAGCCACTCTGGAAAACAGTATGGAGGTTCCTCAAAAAATTAAAAATAGAGCTACCCTATGACCCAGTAATTCCACTACCGGGTATTTACCCAAAGAAAGTGAAAACACTCATTCAAAAAGATATATACACCTTTACGTTTATTGCAATATTAATTACAATAGCCAAGGTATGGAGGCAACCCAAGTGTCCACTGATAGACAAATGGATAAAGAAGAGGTGGTATATATAATATATATATATATATATATATATTATATATACATACATATACACAAGGAGTATTACTCAGCCATAGAAAGGATGAGATCTTGCCATTTGTGACAACATGGATGGACATAGAAGGTATTATGCTAAGTGAGATACAGAGAAAGACAAGTACCATATGATTTCACTTATGTGTGGAATCTAAAAAACAAAACAAATGAATAAACAAAAAGCAGAAAGAGACGCATAAATAGAGAGAACAGGCTGATGTTTGCCAGAGGGGTAAGGGATGGGGGGAGATGGGAAAAATGGGTGAAGGAGAATGGGAGATACAGGCTTCTAGTTATGGAATGAATAAGGCATGGCAATATAAGGTACAGAATGGGGAATATAGTCAATTAAGAAAAAAGAACAAAAAACCCCCCCAAAGATATTGCTTTAACATATCATTCATATGGATCACTGAATTTTTTGACACCCCCTTAAGTTTTGCACCTGAGAAGAGCGCCTCCCTCCCCTTGCCTGAGTGCCAATCCTGCCTAGCTTGGGAGGAACCAGCAGCTTCTGGAGCATTGGAGAGGAGTTGAACAGTGCCTGACACAGTGGTATTCAATAAATGTTTTTTGAATAACTGTTGAATGAGTGAGTAAGGCTGAGAACCAAGAGACCTGTCTTGAAGTGACTCAGAAGAGATGTTCTCAACTTACTGACCAACTTGCCTCTGGTCCCCTGGGAAAAACCACCCATCAGTCCTTGTCATGTGAGATCTTAATAGGCTGCCTTGCATAGGCACTCCGAGATCTCACATATAAAGTGATTATAAGACACTTAAGGAAACATCGGCGTAAAGGAGAAGGAACAAGATGAATTAGAATAGGACGCCACTGCGGAGTGTGAACTCAGGGATGTCATAGAAGAAAACTTTATTAATAAATAATAGAGGAACACCTTTCTGAAGAAGACAGAAACTTGAGTCTTCAAATTGAAAAGCATCATCTCACAGGCAGGAAAATGAGGAGGGATACAGACCCAGAATCTTTGACCTGGTGGAATTTCTGAACCTCAAGGATAATGAGAAAATCTTCCAGGTTCCATACAGACAGAACAGATCACTTACAAAGGCTGAAGTAGTCTAGCGCTGGGCTTACCCTTCCGTTGCGTCTTTGAATCCATGGCTTGGCAAAATCACATACCTAATTAAATCCATATCTTTCCTACTCTCCCACTCGGTTTTGCCCCTGAATGGGGCTGGAGTATTGCTTCTCTGGCTTTACTTTAATTGCCTGTTAGGAAACTTCACGTGTGTGGGCCAGGCAATCATAGTACCCTTCCCGAGTGCGTTCATACCTCCTCACACCTCTCTCCCCTCTTCCAGTCTTGCTCGTCCTCTGAGAAACCAAACCAGTCCAGAGAATTGTTGCAGATTCCCAACACAAAAATCTATCTGCCTCACTATGCAGCTCTCCTCTGATGATAGCGACATCTCTGACCCTCTCTTGTGCATTCTCTCTTATCTTCTCAAGGATGTCACTCAAGCAGGTCTCCCCTCTCTCTCTCATGGCTATCAGCACTCAAAAATACTATTATTTTTTTCCACCTGGAAAACAAATGAACAAACAATCCAAACTCCCTCTCGACCTCACTTCCCCTTCCGGTTACCAACCCATTTCTTTGCTCTCCTTTGCAGCAAAGCCCTCAAAGGAGTTGTCTATGTTCCCTACCTACAATTCTTCTCTTCTCTTTCTTTTTTAAATTCTTTTTTAAAACCGCTCCATTAAGACTTGTTCTTCTGCCCCCTCCCCGCCCCCCATCGCACTCGCTCTTGTCAAGGACGCCAGTAACTCTACTGAGCAATCCTCAGTCCCATGGACTTGACCCATCAGCAGAATTGTACACAGGCTCTTTCCTTCTCCCTGATACACCGTCTTTACTTGGCTTCCAGGACACCACCCTCTCCTGGTTGTCCTATCTCCCTAGCAGCTCCTTTGCTCTCTCCTTTTCTGCGCCTCTTCTTCTCCTGACCTGTGTTAATTTGGTCTACATTAATAATCCTATCCTTTTAGGTGGAGGCTGTCCAGCTCCACATTGTGTTAGCCATTACTCCAGGCAAGATTTTCTTTTGACTGGGGCACCTCTGTCGCTGGAGCACGTGACTCTTAATCTCAGGGTCGTGAGTTCAAGCCCCACCTTGGGCATGGAGCCTATTTAAAAAAAACGTTTTTCTTTTGATTAAAAGTATTGAGAAATAGCCTCATCAGTAAACAAATTTAAAAAAAGAATAAAATCACTGTCAAGCAGCAAATATAACAAAACTGATAATGTCTAATGTAGACAGAACTACTTGGCCTGGGAAAAAGACCAATTTTCAGGTGCATCCTTGTTAAATAAGTTCCCAGTGTGTAGCAAGCTGTCTAAAATGTGTGCACTCTTTAAAGCAGTAATTCTATTTTGGGAAGACACTCTAAGAAAATAATCCTAAAGCCCCAAAAACATACCAGTTGTAGAAGTACAAATATAGGTGCTCCATTTACAATGTAAAGATGTAAATAAAACGAAAGGGGCAGCTATAGAAGCCCAGCAGTTTCCATCGGCAACTATGGGCTGGTTTGTGGGGACCAACACACAGGTCAATTATGGAATATTCATTTATTAAAATACGGTCTGGAGTAAATGCATGGGGTTCGTGTTGACATAGAAAACGTTTAAATGAAAGTGATCTTGATGGGGAAGAAAGAGGGGCACAAAATAGTACTTTCATACTGATTGTGGCTGTCTAAAAAACAGTTCAGGCCATAAATATTTGAAAAGAAAAGTTACAGTATAATTATCTACAACCTTTTATGAATGTGGCAACACGCTGGGCACTGACAAGGAAACGGCACAAATATGGAGGAGTAATGCACAATAAGGAAGTCCAGGCTGTGGTCTGGCCTTCCTCAAAGTCCCGGGAAAGCCCCGGGTCTGCGCGCGAGCTGGACCAAGGATGGGGTGTACGTTCCCGCCGGGCCACAGGCGGACCGACAGCCAGGGGGCGCCCCACGCACGACCCCAAGGTCCCGGGCGCCCTCCCCGCCCAGCCTCCGCCCCGCCCGCCGCCAGGGGGCGCCGCAGGCTGCCCAGCGCTCGGCTCGCCGCCCCCGAGCGCCGGCGCGGGCGAGCGGCGGAGGCCGGCCTGGCGGCGGCCATGGACCGCTTCGTGTGGACCAGCGGCCTCCTGGAGATCAACGAGACCCTGGTGATCCAGCAGCGCGGGGTGCGCATCTACGACGGCGAGGAGAAGGTAGGAGCGGCCTCCGGGACGACGCGCGGGCTGGCTGGCCTGCGGGGCCTCCCCGCCCGGGCGCCCGGTCCCCACCCCGCGGCGCTCGGGCGGCCGGGCTCAGAGAGCGGCGGGGACGGCCGACGTGTGGCCGGGTGCCTGCGCCTCCGGCCCCGGATCGGGTGTGCTGACGGCGGGCCGCGGCGGGCGGGTGCCGCATTTGCCGGGCCTCCTGACCCGGGGTGCCTCCATGACCGGGGTGCGGCCGGAGCGCGTGGGGTTTGTCCCACCGAGCGGGCCGGAGTGCCCTGCAGGGGTTTCCGAGAAGCGTGTCCGGGTCTCACCGGGCCGCCTTTCTCAAGGCTCTTCCCCCCAACCCTCCCCGCTTTTTTTTGGAAAGGAGTCTAGAGCGTTTGTTTGGTAAAGTGATGTGGTAGGCCGGGCCTTGTCATCCTTAGGAGATGCGCTTGGGTATGGAGAGAAGTGTTCCCAGTGTGAGCGTTCGGTGCAGACTTCGTCCAACTGCTACCGCGGGGAGAGCCGGTTCCGCCTTGGCTGGGGCTGCGCCCCGCGGGAAGATCCGTACTCCAGAGACGAATGCTGGGGGGAAACGAAAGGCTGCTTTATTCAGGAAGCGGGCGGCCTGGGAAGACGGTGGACTAACGTCCCAAGGACCATCCTCCCCGTCCAGGCGAAGCCGGAAGGGCTTAAAGGGGAAGGGGGGGGGGGGGGGGGGGAGGGAAGGGAAGGGGTGGGGCTCGGTGCTTGAGAAGCAGGTGCCCTGGCGGTTAGTCCGAGGTGGGCATGACCATGAACAGACTTGCTGGCATCAGCCGCAGCTGTTTTCCAATGCAGTCAGGCCTTATCTTCTGGGAAAGTCTGGTCCACCCCTCAAGGCCAGCGGTCTGCAGGTCTCACGGGAAGTAGGTTAGCTCTGCTGCACACCAAGGGACTTCGGTCAGCCAGCGAGGAGTGCATAAGCTTGAGGCAAGTTAGCCCTTGAGACCGGTTGGAGGGCTGTTGCAAAACTACTAACTTCTTCTGGATGAAATGTATAAGCTGGAATTAGAAAAATGTTAAAAACCTGTGTATTCACCAGCATTTTTATTTTCCAGAAGTTTCACTTGCTGTCTCTTCTTTTTTGTGGTTTTGTTAATGTAACTTCCTTCTGTACTTTTGCGTTTGTTCCTTGACCCATAGCTTTTCCTGGTCGGTGCCTGCAGAAGCTTGAGACTTCCTTCTTCCTAGGTCATGGAGGGCAGGGGTTACACAGCTATCTAGGGGGCACAGTTGACATGGCATAGAACCCAGGTGTTCTGCCTCCCTGAGGGTATTTTCCGTGTACTGTGTTGCCTCCATTATCAAGTCAGCGTCTTTTCCTTAAAATAATTTGCTTGGATTTACTTGATTTCCTGCCTTAGCACTTTTATTAACTGGATCTCAAATTGAGTTTGCATCTTTTGGTTGGAGTGACAAGCTAAATGTTTTTTGCACCAAGGTTACAACCTCTGGAACTATTTTAAATGGCGAGCATAGTCAAATTCCCCTCCCTCAGCCGGTTTGGTTATGCCTCTCTCTCAGAACTGTATGCTGACAATCATAGATTGGTGTTCAGAGACTCCACTAAAGACAGTCCCTGCAGGAAGTCACACTTTTGCAGGGCACCACACTCTGTTGTTCTGTGTAACTCCAATATACAAATTAGGAACATCTTGGCTGGCACATAATATAACTACGATTTATTTAAGACAATAAAAAGACAAAACCATGAGTACCTGTATATGAAAAACCATTGCTAGACCAGTGTATTCTAGTGTTTCCTTTTAAGTTTTTTGCTTCTTTTAGCGGACAAGTAGATAGAGTTATCAGAGGACCAATAACAAGGTTTTGGGAAAAATTTAGTTAAGACCCTTTAATCTACGGAGGAATTCTTAACTGTTCTAAAAGCTGAGGGTTGTGAGGAGGGATGTAGGTGTCCTGAAATTGAAGCAGAGTTTTAAGACAAGCCTGCTCACTGCTGCAGTCCCTGAGCTGCATCTATCTAATGAGTCACTGGCTAGTTGCGTGGCTCAGCTGTGTGGCTGAGGGCTAGACTGATTCCTGGGGGAAAGTCCCACGTCCTGGCTTCCTCCATCTGCTGGAAGGCTTCCAGACCTCACATAGTCTAAAGACTCTAGGAAGCTCCATATCAGCCTCCAGATCTGGTCAAGTTCCCTTTCACTATCTTTCAGTGGCTTCCTTGGTCTAGGGCACTCCAGTCCAAGTCTACTTAGCCTCCATAGCTTTGATCCCAACACATTCCTGAGGCAAGCATGTCTACTAGATCGGGTGGTCGCTCCTGGAGGGCAGAAAGTGTGCCTTACTCATCCTTGTATCTTTTGGCTCATCGTGGGTGTGAAATACATGGAAAAAAAAAAAAAAGACCTGGATAATTAGAGTACCTACTATGTGCTGGGAGCTTTACACACAGTCTCATTTAATCCTCTCTGTGGGCATATGAGGTGAGTATTTTATGGATGAGAAAATAACTCTTAGAAAGTGACTTGCCCGCAGAGAGTTTGTTAGCGGGAGAGACAGGAGTTAAATCTCTATTGATCAGACTCCCAAAGCCTGCATTTTGTTCACTGGGCTGCGGTGCTTCACGAATATAGCAGTCACCGGTGCCAGACTCTTTATGTGATGTTTAATATAGTGGATACTCCCAAAGATGAAGACACAGAGGCTCTTAGTTGGTAGTTGAGGAAACAGTGACCTGTCTGAGGTCACACACTTAGTATTTGGTGGAGCCACAGTAGACTGCTTTTCCCACCGCCCAAGCACCCAAGTGTCTCTTGTGAATAAATGTGTCCCTGCTTGTTTCTACAGGCATAGTTCTCATGGGCCCATTATGACTGGATAGTATGTTGTTTTCCTAAGCAGCGTAGACAGGTCATTTGTTTAAATTCACAGAAGCGTCTATAGCCTCAGCTAATTTAAAAATATAATGAAAGCAGGTTAGTAGTGTATAAAGTGGCAAGTTGGCAGCATTTACTGGGAGACTTGGAAAACGTTTATTTTCTTTCAGCTAGGTGTTTCGCTTTTAGGAATTTACCCCTGGGAAATAATCAGAGATGCATAGAAATATAATGAATGAGGATACTTATCTCAGCATTGTTATATGTATTCTATATTATCACATATAGGGAAAATTGGAAGCAATAGGTTTTTGTTAATTAAATAGGACAAGTCTTAATCACATGAGGAATTGCTGATGATAGGCCACCAGTTGAAAAAAGCAAGTTATAAAACTATAAATATAATGGCTTCATTTTATTTTATTTAACGATTATTCACACATGCACACACACATATATACACATACACATATGTATACATGTGTGTATACACACATACACTCTGGCTGGTATTATTACGTAATTTCATTTTCTTTTTTAGACTTAAATTTTTTTTCCAGATTTTCAGCAGTGTATTACTTTTATAACAGAAAAATGCTAAATACTAAAAAAAAACAGGGTAAGAGCTTATCCAGCGAATGCCTAAGTTCCATCAACCTTTAAGTAGTTAAAATTATTCTAGCGCTGAGTGGCAGGAGCAAACCAGCCTAAACTTGTCTATCAGGTTTAACTCATAATCCCTTGGAATCCCTGAAGGGAAGTATTACACAACTTCTTCTCTTAGAGCGGCTGCATTTTACGTTTGCACATTGTAATTGACATAGCAACGGGATATACTCTGCCTTCAGCTTTTAAATTCACATCCTTAATGCTTGAATTTCAGTAAGAGAAAGTACATTTTCTTAATCAGAACTGTTAGGCTGTAATGTAGCATCGTGTACTCTCAAGTTGATAAAATACTTGTTTTTGGAAAAGGGAAATCTTACTCATTCACAAAAAAGAGGTTTTTAAAATCTCTTAAACTGAATTATTTGGTTTTGCCCAAACATTTGAAGCCAGACTGAATTAAGTGCCAGGAGTATGTATGTTTTACTTCTGATTCAGTAGAAAACATGGAACTCATCAAGTCTTTTCTCTGAGGGGTTGAAGTACTTTTGTGGAATGATCTCTCACAGAGCGTATTTAAACTAGATGGCTCAGTAGGTCTCTTACCATTAAAGCTTTTAACCATATTGATAATGACTAACATATTAGTAATAAAGTTATACCGTACTCTTAGAAAATAATTTTTAAAAATTCATGTTAAAAAGGGGATTGGTTATTTATTATACAAGGAGGTTTTTGACAGAAAAAGTGTTTGTGTATGTTTGATTTAACAAAAAATATGCACATTTCAGACTACACGAAGTTAAATATGGTTGTAACAAATTTTTTATTTTTTTCATTAGACAAATTTATAAAGTTGTTAAATATAGGTAAGCCAAAAGAAGAAACTTGAAATAATCAGTAATCCTACTACCCATAAACAGTTAGTTTTGGCACATTCTCTGTTTGTGGCTGTGTGTGTGTAATCATGCTATGTATACTACTTTGAAACCTACTTTTTTCTTTGTTAATATCATGAGTATCTTGTAATAAATGTCGATTTGCATATATAATTAAATTTATGATTATTTTTACTTAATGATATATAACAGTGTCCTAATCGGTTATTTACTTGACAGACATTTTTAACCACATTATTTTAAATTCAGGAGGATTATTTGTAATAAACTGGACCCTATGAAAATGCTTTCCTTTGAGTTTTTTTTTTATTAAACAATTTTTTTTTATTTGAATATAGTTGACACACAATGTTACATTAGTTCGGGGTGTACAACATACATAGTGATTTGACAGGTTTATACATTATGCCGTGTTTACCACAAGTGTAGCCACCATCTGTCCCAATGTGATATCTTTGATTATATTCCTTTTATTCCCATGACATTCATTCCATAACCGGAAGCTTGTATCTCCCACTCCCCTTCACTCACTTTGCCCACACCCTCCTTCCCCCTCTGAGTTTGTCTTGTAAGGTGGCCTTAAAATGGGACCAGCCTTATAACTTTAGAAATAACTAATTACTCCTCAAAAGGATACAAGCAAGTCCTACCTTATGACAAATTCTACTTCCTAGTGGTTAGAGTTAATAGAGGCTTCCAGTATATTTCTTAATTTTAACAGAAATGAAGGGATTTGATATATTATCTCCTGGATTCCAACTCTAAAATTTGCTTATTTATATACTTTTCAATGCATAATAGCAAAGGATGAGGATTAAGGATTCGGTCCTAAAGATATAGCTGGCATATCTTTTTGTGTGTGTGTGATTGTATTATAGTTTTTAAAAATATTTTTTACATTTATATTTTGAGTAGGTGACACAATCCATGACAAAAATCCAAAAATCACAAAAAGTATAAAGTTAAAAGTCTCCCTTTCACCTTTGTCTCTTTGTCACTCAGTCCCCCTCAGAGGCCACCAGTGTGTCATTCTAAAGAGCTGTGCATATGTATCATGGATAGATATTTGTATAAAGTAAATTGTGTTTCCTTTTTTAAAATGTAAATTTCTAATATACTATGCATACAAAGTTCTGAATCTTGTTTTTTTTCCACTTAATCTATGTGGAGAATTTACCATATTTCATCAATTCTAAATGCCCATTCCCTCCCCCCCACACACACATTTTAACAACTGGAATCAGGATGCATTTCATAATCAATAGCATCTTAGATTTTTTCAAATGTAACATGCAGATAAAGAGTCTCCTCATTCTTTTTAACGACTGAGTAGCAGTTCATTGTGTGAGTGTACATTTCTCGATGGACATTTAACTTGTTGAATATATTTTGCTTTTTGCAAACAGCAATGAATAACTTAATAGTATATCATAATGCACATGTACAAATTCATCTGTAGGATAAATTCCTAAAAGTGAAATCACTGGATCAAAGGATATGTGTGTTTGTATTTTTGATAGATATTAATACATTGCCCCCCATGGAGGTTGTCCCTCCAGCAATGTGTGCAAATGCTTATTTCCCCCATACTTCACTGGCACAGTGTTATCAAGCTTTTCAGGACCTCTACCCGTCTCCTGGATGAAGGGGTGTCCTCATGTTCTCTTAATTTACCTTTTTCTTGTTATCTGTGAGGTTGGGCACCTATTAATGTGTTTAAGAATCATTTGTAGTTCCTTTCATGTGAACTTTGTTAATAGTCTTTGCCCATTTCTCTAATCGATTACAAGCTATTTTTTAAAATTGATTGGTAAGAGTACTTTATATTTTAAGGAAATTAACCCTTTGTCTCTGATGTGAGTTACAGTTATTTTTCCCAGTCTGCCATCTTTGTTCTTGGTGGTTTTTGCCATGAGGGATTTGTGTGCATGTGTGTGGAGTTCAGTTTATAAATCTTTGCCTCTAATGCTAATGGGCTTAGTGTTTTCCTTGAAAGACCTTCTCTACTCTTAGATTATTTAAAAAATTCTCTCGTGATTTTTTTCTATACTTTTATACTTTTTTGACTCTAATATTTGATCTAGACTTTATTTTGGTGTGGTATATTAGGTATAAATCCAACATTATTACTATTATTATTATTATTCTCTACTGGGCAACCCAGTTGTCCTAGTGCCATTGATTGAATCTCTAGCCAGACTTATTTTTGTATGTGTTTGTGTCTATTTTCTTATTATTTAAAAAAATTATTTTAAAAGATTATATGAGTGCTATACACAAATTCAATCTTATGGTAAAAAATTCAATCAGTAGTGAAGTGGGTAGTTTTAAAAGGGTGCCCATGCTTTCCTTCTTCCCATTTCCTCACACTTTTTCTGAGATAATCGTTGTTAACAGATCAGTGAGTATTCCATTTATATCTTTTCCTACTAATGTGTGTATGTGTATATGTATACACATGCATATATCTCACAATGTAGTTTAGGAGATATGGAGATTATCTCCTATTTGATTACCTTATATGTGATATGCTGTAAGTTGCTTTCTATCCCCACTAACTCTGTCATAGAATTCTGTGAAAGTCCATGCAGCTCTACCTCATTCTTTTTAACCTCTGTATGGATTCCACAGTATGAATGTATCATACTAGACTTAACTACTACCCTGTTGTTACACATCTAGGTTGTTTGCGATTTTTTCCCAATTTTATTTATATATATATACACACACACGCATATGTATAGCTTATGAAGTGTGTAGTATTGCTTCTCTTTAATTTATGGTAAGCCTAATTCTCTAATGTTTATATGATTAATTTACTATTGTGTAATTTGTGAGGAGGAAAGTTTGGACCACATTGAGTGATACATTAATGTTTTGTGACGATCTTATCTTTGTAGATAAAATTTGATGCTGGGACCCTCCTTCTTAGTACACATCGACTAATTTGGAGAGATCAGAAAAATCATGTAAGATAAAGGGTTTTTTAAAAATCTGTTCTGGGTTTTATTTTTTTATTTTATTTTTTTAAATTTTATTTTATTATGTTATGTTAGTCACCATACGATACATCATTAGTTTTTGATGTAGTGATCCACGCTTCATTGTTTCATATAACACCCAGTGCTCCATGCAGGACGTGCCCTCCTTAATACCCATCACCGGGCTAACCCATCCCCCCACCCCCCTCCCCTCTAGAACCCTCAGTTTGTTTCTCAGAGTCCATAGTCTCTCATGGTTCGTCTCCCCCTCCGATTTCCCCCCCTTCATTTTTCCCTTCCTTCTCCTAATGTTCTCCATGCTATTCCTTATGTTCCACAAATAAGTGAAACCATATGATAATTGACTTTCTCTGCTTGACTTATTTCACTTAGCACAATCTCCTCCAGTCCCATCCATGGTGATGTAAAAGTTGGGTATTCATCCTTTCTGATGGCTGAGTAATATTCCATTGTATATATGGACCACATCTTCTCTATTCATCTGTTGAAGGGCATCTCAGTTCTTTCCACAGTTTGGCTATTGCGGACATTGCTGCTATGAACATTGGGGTGTATATGACCCTTCTTTTCACTACATCTGTGTCTTTGGGATAAATACCCAGAAGTGCAATTGCTGGGTCATAGGGTAGCTCTATTTTTACTTTTTGAGGCACCTCCACACTGTTTTCCAGTGACACTACAGATAAAGGGCTGGTATCCAAGATCTATAAAGAACTTCTCAACTCAACACCCAGAACACAAATAAGTCAAAAAATGGGCAGAAGACATGAACAGACGCTTCTCCAAAGAAGACATACAAATGGCCAACAGACACATGAAAAATGTTCTAGGTTTTAAATTACTGAAGTCTTTCTTTCTTTCTTTCTCTTTCTTTCCTTCCTTCCTTCCTCCCTCCCTTCCTCCTTTCCTTTCCTTTCCTTTCCTTTCGTCAAAACTAAAAAATGCAATAAATTTCCATTTTCACAGTGTGAAAAGAGTGTGTCCCATGTGATCTCTCTGAATGGAGTGCAGATAGAGGAGTTAGGGGTTGTCCCTCATTCAACTCCAGAGAAGTCTGTAGTTGCTGAATAGAGAGAGAATCATGGTCACTTCTGTTTTTAAACACCAGTCAGAACCTACCGCATACCTGAATGTTCTGTATGTAATGGGAATATTTCTCCCAATTGTTGTCAGGGCTCCTCAGAACAACCTGTTCCTGAGACTCTGGGAAGATGGGTCTGCCAGGAAGTACATGCTTTTACCTAGATATTGAGAAGAATGGCTTCTAAGTCACTCAGCAAGAGGAGAAACCTCCCTGTTTTTTTATTTCTAGGAAGAGAGAACAAGTTATGTGTATAAAGCTATTTTAATTCCAAAGAGCTTTAACGTGAAATGTATGTGTGTATAAATTTCAGTGTTGCCAGTAAAATAACCACTCTATGTTATTTTCATAATTGCTGCCCCCTCCACCATGAAATTTTAATTTAATTTAATTAATTTTTTTTTAAGATTTTATTTATTTATTTGAGAGAGAGAATGAGATAGAGCATGAGAGGGGGGAGGGTCAGAGGGAGAAGCAGACTCTCCACCGAGCAGGGAGCCCGATGCTGGACTCGATCCCAGGACTCCAGGATCATGACCTGAGCCGAAGGCAGTTGCCTAACCAACTGAGCCATCCAGGCGCCCGAAATTTTAATTTTACAGGGCAAACTATATACTGTACTGAGGCCCTTTGAAAGGCCACTAACTATTGTAAAATCTGACTCTTTTTGGCCCCCAAGAATCAGTCTTTGCTCCCTTATTGGTGATATTGCCCTTATTGGTAATGCATACCTTACAGCTGTTAATGGTGTCTAATTCTTTTAAAAGAAGTATATATTTAGGAAAAAATCTTTTTTGGAAGGATAGGTGTCCTTAAAACATATGTTTATAAATTAATCTTAGCATCATTTTTTGATTATCATATAAAGAGGCTAATTTAGAAACCCTTAGACTTATTAAATGCCAGTCATTTATAATAACTTAAAGTTAAATGTGCTAATAAAGGGAACCTATGTCAGTATTTACTGTTAAAAATGGTGAGTGAAGTGTAGAAAACTAAAAAGAAAAAAAAGATCACCTGTATAGCACACTCCTTAAAGTTGTTTTGATTTACCTGTTCTGGTTTTGTTTTTTTTTTCCATATAAGGATGTCTTACATATAAAAAGTTTTCATATAAATACTGCTTTTAAAAAGATGTACCTATTGTAAAAACAAAAGCAGTTACAGCGGCTTTTAAACCTCTTACATTCTTCCATGTGGCAAAATGCCACCACAGTACTGTTTTCATCCCATTTTTCCTTTAGTTTATTTAAGGAATAAAATCATTTTACAATTTTTTTAATTGTTTTTATTATTAAGTAAAGGTGCATGACACTCTTAAATACTATAAAACAAGGATTACTGACAAGGAATCTGATGAATCATGTTTTGTATTGATTTCCTTCTAGGAGTGCTGCATGGCCATTCCTCTTTCCCATATTGTGTTCATTGAAGAACAGGCAGCTGGAATTGGGAAAAGGTGAGGTGTCTCTAGTGCAGTCTTTTTTCACAAAAATGTTCCAGTCAAGCTGTTACTATCAACTTAGTAGATTTATTATTGTGCCATGACTGCATATGTGGGAATGAATCTAATGATTGTGTTTTGGGGCTTTATAAAGAATAGTCGTTGGTCAGGAGCCCCCTAAGAAGATGTTTCCTACGTTAAACTCATGGATAAATGGAAGTCATTCCTAAAGCACAAATCAAGTCCTAAGGTTTGCTATAATATCCTTGGGTCAAAATAAATAAGTGTTGGCCAGCTTGTCATTGCATGCGTTTCCACAAACATTCGCTTTGACATGTCTTTGTATCTAGTACTTAAAATCAGGAGTGACTCACCTGAGAAAAATGACTGATTTTACTCCTATTTCTAGTTGATCATTAAGTGTCTGCTCTTTGACCTTTTCGGATATCAGTGTTAAATATTTCATATTTATTCATGTATTTAATATATTTCATAATATTTATTGTCCAAATTGGGACATTTATAAAAGTAATAGGGGGTGCTATTTATTTTATTTCATTATTTTTTAAAGATTTACTTATTTATTTGAGAGAGAGAGAGTGAGCATGCGTGCACAGTGAGCACGTTGCGGCGGGGGCAGAGGGAGAGACTCTCTCAAGCAGACTCCCCACTGAGCACGGAGCCCAGTGAGGAGCCTGGATGCGGAGCTTGATCCCACGACCCATGAGATCATGACCTGAGCTGAAACCAAGAGTCTTATGTTTAACTGATTGAGCCACCCAGGCGCCCTGGGGGTGCTGTTTATAATTGGACCACAGAAGCATAAAATGGGACGGTTTTAGGCAAACCAGGACTTTTGATCACCCTGGTTTAAAGCCACACGTTAAAATGTTTCTTTTTAATCAGGTACATAAAATTCTGGCTTTTACTTTAAGTGAATGTAATTGAGGGCAACTTATGAACAAATATTGCTGATAAGAATTTTTTTTTCCTTGTGGGCCCATTTTGAGCTTTAGTATAGCTACTTCAGTAGAGGTGAAACAATATTGAACTTCACTGGAAATGCAATGCATGCCTTAATTATAAAGTTGTAGCTAGGATGCAAGATTGTTTATTTGACATAAAAGAAACTGACGTTTTAAAAAGATTAATAAAAGCACAGAGAGTAGGCTATTTCTCTAATTTCTATTTTTCCCCTTGTCACTTTTTTCCATCTTACTAAGTTTTTTTTTAATGAAGGTACAATTACATATAACATTGTATGAGTTCCAGGTGCACAACATAATGATTCGATATTTGTGTATATTGCTTTTCTTAAGTTCTACAAAGTAAAACTTGAATGTGTTGCAGATCATTTGAATTTTCCTCTGCTGTGTTCCAAGGAAATTTAAACTGTATAACAAAAATTGTTTAAAATATTTACCTTCCCATTAGTGTCTTATTTTTAAACATCTCCAGTGAGGAGGAATTTAATAATACGTCAGGTTAACATTTCTCAAATATTCTCTTTAGTTCTCAGCTCCCTTGCCCCAAGCAATTACCATATTTCATTGATTCAAAATTGTATATATAGTTTCACCTTTTAACATGTCTCATCCCAAGATGCATCTTTGATTGGGTGGTTTTTAAACTTGAAATATGGTAATTGAATGACCTGTGAAATGAATATATTTGAAAACTGGCCTAGATCTTTTTAGCTGACTTTGAGATTTTTAAACTTCATTTTGTCTTGTAATCTTTAATTCTTCATTGAGTTTCCTTTGACAAAATCTGATAGTGGGGCTCAGATTTTTCAGTTTTAAAGATTGTGTGATGCTCTGCTCAGTCACCTTAACCTAATTGCCGTATTTTGTTGCTCTACCTGACCGCTCATTTCAGACAGTCCTGTCACTGTGATTGCATAGTTTATTTGCTCACCTGACTTAAGTTCACCACAAAGTAATAGGTTTAGAAGAGTCCTTACAAGTCTGGCCCTAGTTTACTAACCAAACCGTTGACTACACTGGGGAAGCCCCACTAATGGTGTTTCAATTTAGTAGCGATATTTAGGCAATCAGATGGACCTAAACAAGATAGAATAATAAATAGGTGAATCTATAATGTGGTTATAAAGAAAAATCCCTAAGCTGCGTATCCAAAGTATTTTGACTGAGTTTTTTGGTTTTGCTCATTTATGGAAGGAGATTGTTTATTGAGCAGATTGGGGGGAAAGGCTTATAAAGCTGAACCAATACAATGGTATTTTTAGTAGCACAGAAGATAATGGTAGTCATAAAGATTATGGTAGTTTGTGCTCCTAGCACAGTGGCATTTTGAGATTTGTTTTTGCTGTTGGATTATCTTCTAGAGCATGCTGTTGATTGAGTGGCATTTTCCAAAAATGATACCGTAGAATGTTAGCTTTGGATGGAGATGGAATAAAATGTCAGCTGGCCAGTTTTATACAGATAAGTTTTCACATTTTGTTTTCAAATGAGTAGGGTAGGATGCTTTGGCAGAAATTATAGACCCCCTGGTAACCTCTGGGGATGACTCTGCACATGGAAAACCCTAATCATAAACCAAAATAGTGAACTGTCCCAAATTTCGCAAACTTATTTTGAACTTACTTGTTTGAAACCACATTTTTAATTAATCTATAGAGCTAGTAACTTGAACTTCTTGGTTCAGAGCTTATAAGCTGTAAGTAGAGGTATTTTTGAAAGGTTCATTCATGCTGAATTAATACAAAGTTTAAAAGGATTCCTTTCAGGATGTCCTTTGTTTCTACATGAACTTTAAAAGTGAACTAAAATATATTAAAAATTATGAAAATAGAATTAGTCATTCTTAAAAGGTAATTAAATTCATTACATTTATTCTTTAGTGCCAAAATAGTGGTTCATCTTCACCCAGCTCCACCCAACAAAGAACCCGGTCCGTTCCAGAGTAGTAAGAACTCCTACATCAAACTCTCCTTCAAAGAACATGGCCAGATTGAGGTAGGTTTTTATATGCATAAAAGTGGACTAGAAACGTGTGCTTGTGTGTGTTTTTTGTTGTTGTTTGTTAATATGATGTAAATCAATATTGTTCAACATACCAGGTTTCACCATATTTTTACAATAAAATTTTTATATTTTAAGCCTTATCAGTAGAAAATACGAAGTTTAGGTTTTGGTGGGAACGGGAAGCAGGAGGGTGTGGTCCCACGGAAAAAGCAGAAGCTGTAAAAATGCTAAGTCATGCCATTAGGCTACTAGTAAAGTTTTCAGTGGCTTGGTTAAAGAGGCAGAGTATAATGCAGTGAAAGGTTAAACCATCTCAGTATCTAGCTCACCAGCCTTAAGTCAGGAAGTCTTTCTTGACTCCACACAAATCTCATCACTCAAGTACTTACTCCATAGTATGATAGTTTACATTTTCCAAGTAGTAAGTCACTGTGTAAGTATTCTTCAGACATTTACAAGTGTGTGTTTATCTCATTGATACCCTAAATTATTTATGTGTTTTTTCTATTGCACTTCACTCAGCACTCCTCACATGGTAGGCACTAAGAAAAGATAAGCGACTAACTGAAATCATTCTCACTGTAGTTAAACAATATAGTTGATTTTTTGTGAGTGTAGGGATGTTTTGGCCCTAATTTCTGGCTTCACATTTTAACTAGACAAATTATTCTCTGCTTCCTTCATGGATAATGGTTGTATATTTTTCTTGGCACTATATCTGTTTCGCTATAGATTGAAAACAATCCACATATGTGAGATTGTTTAAAGTAGGTCTATTTATTCATTGTCACTCATCTCTTTGTTGAGAATAGCTCACTTTATATAGAAGGTCAGTTTCTTTCTTTTTTTTTCTTTTCCTTTGTGCTTTATGAAGCTGATCCAAGAAAAGAACTTCCTTTCGTTTCTTTTGATGTTTCTGAGAGTTCTAGGCTTGTTGCAAATGACTGAACAGGCCTTTCAACTAAAGAAATGTTAATGATTTGTATGAGGATGCTATAACCTGACTGACTCATTTAAAGTGTATGTATATGTACAACAGTTTTACAGGCGTTTATCCGAGGAAATGACACAGAGAAGATGGGAGAATATGCCAGTTTCCCAGTCATTACAAACAAATAGAGGACCCCAGGTATTGTTGAAACTGTTTCTGAATCCAGTATTTTTTGCTAGAACTTGCTAGAACAAAATAATGATATTCTGATTAAACATTTATTTTCACAGAACCTAATTTAGTGCTCTGCAGACAGTAGACACTTAGCAAAAATAAATAACTACTTAACAGAGTGATTCTTGGGGTGGTAGAAGTTCCATTCCATTCAGTACATTCTGTTCTTCATAATTAGTGTGGCATCTGAGAGAACAGACAATGCCTCTGGGTGATGTTTTTCAGGCCAGTCTAAAATAACCACCAACCGTGCACAGATACTCATATGTGTGAAAAATGTAGTTTGTATAATAACAGCCAAATACCAAAATTTTAACTATAATTTCTTGCATATTTGAGACCCTATTAAATATCTGATACGTATATAGCTTGCCAAAGAACAAACATGAATTTAATTTATATCTAAAATACAGAGTAATATATGCCACTTATTGTATATTTAGTTTTTTTAATAATGATTTGAAGATCGTTATGTATGACAAGAAACTGACAAATGTTTTGAAAGGAAACTAGATGTAATCATGTGCTGGTTTTCTTTGGTTCTTTGTGGGTCCCTTCCCGCCATTGAAAACATGTTGTGGTGGGTTGCAAAATAGTGTGTCCTTCCTATTTTGTATGTTTTATTTTCTACTTTTGTTTTTCAGCCAGGAAGAATAAGGGCTGTAGGAATTGTAGGCATTGAAAGGAAATTGGAAGAAAAAAGGAAAGAAACGGACAAAAACATTTCTGAGGTAACTCATACATAAAGTTCCGGTCAGCTGTCTTTCTTGGCCATTTGTGTTTATTCTTTTGGATGTAGCTGTGACTAATTCCATTCTGTGTTTTGGAATATATTTTATTTGCCTGAAGCCACAGTCTCTTATTCCAGGTCTTCTTCAGGTTGGCATAATTTAGCCAAAACATGTTTTAAAAACGTTTTCCAAAAAGAAATGAAAATGAAACTCAAATTTGTTTTCTGTGATGTTCACGACATTGTGGGTTGCTGTATGTAAATTTTAAAGCCTAGATGGAATTAATTGGAGAATACTAATGAATTCCAGGTCCTCTGTATAATTATTTGGAGGTTTAGTTAACTTAGTTGAGGGAAAAATGCTATTCTGAGGCTGTTAACCTGGCCAGACACCACACAGTTTTATGCCACTGATGCTCAGGGACCAGACATGGACACAGTAAGAAAGGCACAGACCAGCCCATCCCTTCCACCAGGAGAACAACCCTGAGCATGTGCTTCGCAGTGTGTCTGCAACTTCATCATATCTGAGGAAATGCAAGTGAAAGGGAAAGAAGTCTAGTTAAGAAAAGCAGTTAGTCATGTTAGATTCTGCAGTCAGCTACTACATTGGAATATGTCATTGGTCTTCCTGTGTTTATATAAAAATTGTCTTGGATTTTTTATGAAATGACTATGAAGTAATTCTTTAGTTTTTAATACTAGTTTATAAGTAAAATTCCATTGACTAGTGCTGTTCATAGAATTTCAAAGACGTATATCAATCAAATAAAGTCTAAGCTGCAAATAGTTATGGGATACCTATATTAATCCAGATTTTCCAGAGAAACAATCAGTAGGAGACCTATAGATACCAATACACAAATGTAGTTATCAATATATCCCTCTCTCTATATATACACACACAATGCTATTTAATATAAGCAATTGACTCATGTGATTGTGGGGACTGAAAAGTCCCACAATCTGCCACCTGCAAGCTGGTGACCCAGGAAAGCTGGTGATAGAAATCCTAAACTAAGTCCGAAGGCCTGAGAACCAGGAGTGCTGATGGTTTAGGTCCAGTCCAAGGGCAGGGTAAGACTGCTGTCTTGGCTTAACCAGTCAGGCAGAGAAAGTGTGAGTTCTCCCTTCCTCCAGCCTTTTGTTCTGGCCCTCTGAGGATTGGATGATGCCCACCTGCAGTGAGGACGGCAGTTCTGCTTCTGGCTACCAATTCAAATGCTAACCTCATATGGAAATACCCTCACAGACCCATCAATCATGTTTGATCAAGAACCTGGGCACCTCATGATCTAGCCAAGTCCATATATAAAATTAATCACCGTATTACCAAGTATGGGCCCACTAGATTGAAAATATAGATCATTGAGAAACCAAGGTCATTTGACCTATTAAGTGCCCATGGTCTAGGTTTTGCTGATCTCATATTTATGGTAAAGTTTTATATGTTCCTCAGCTCTAAGTATTTCCTGCAAAATGGCAGTTGGATCCAGAGGCCTGATCAGACTCGTGTTTGATCTCTTTGCTGAGACTAGCGGTGATGCTGTATTTTTTCCTAAGGAGGCACATCCTGTCTTTGTTGATGATGGCAGCAGCTGTTCATGTTCATTGCATAGATCTGCTGGTTCACTGGTGGTTACAAATGGTGATATTCTAGGATTTATTTTTTATTAGTTGGATTACCTTTTGAAGAGATGCTTCCCTTCATCTACTATTTGACTACTCAGTGATACAGGTCATACAGCGAAGGCAGAATAAGTGCCTTTTTCTTTATCATCAGGATAATTAATTGGTTCCTTATCATCCTTCAGTGGCAACTCATTTGAGGTTTTTTACATATGAGTATGAATTCACAAATCTTAACCTATTTGATGGGTTTCAATCAGTTGCAATTATTATCCTGTTTAAAGCTCACATTGTCCCATCTTTGGCCAGTGGGAGCCTCTTCAAGTTGGCTCCTGAGTGCTTTTGATGTGACCTGGTGGATTTTGATAGCTTCCTTGCTATTTACTATGACAAAAGTTCCAGGACCAGCTTGTACATTTCCTGCCCCAGATCTGGAATCAGCCATTACCTGAGAAGTCCCTGTTTTTCCTAGATGCCCAAAGGCTTTTTCCCTCTCCTCTTTTTTATAAAGCCTAGTAATTTTACTAGAATGTGTTGGTTGATGTGTTAGTCATTCTGGGTTGTTATTCTCAGGTACGCAATATGCTCTTAGTATTTGGTTCTAGAAATTGCTTCTTTTAATTTCAGGGAATTTTTTCAATTTTATGTTTTAATAATTGCTTTATTTTTTTCCCTCTGAAACCATTAGCTGTGTGTTTAAGCTCTACTGCCTAGCTTTACCCTTGGCGACTTTCCTTTTTTTTTTTTTTAGATTTTTTTTATTTGTCAGAGAGAGAGAGTGCGCACAAGCAGGGGGAGCGGCAGGCAGAGGGAGAGGGAGAAGCAGGCTCCCTGTTGAGCAAGGAGCCCGACTCAGGACTTGATCCCAGGACCCTGGGATCATGACCTGAGCCGAAGGCAGACGCTTTACTGACTGAGCCACCCAGGCATCCCCCGCTCTGTGACTTGCAAACCCTTTTTATCTCTTTAATTTCTTTTTTAGGAAATCTTCCTCTTTCTAGCCTGTTTCTCTTAAGGCACTATCTATTGTGTTTATTCATTCTTGTGTTCTAATATAGTCTTTATTTCTGAAATGATTTTTTCAAAAATTCTTTCCTGAATCATGTCACTTCATTTCTGATTTATTTTGTCCATTCATGGCTTGTGTCATTTTATTAACATCTTTTAGCTCATGTTGAAAGAAAAGGTTAAATTTTGATCTGATCTGTGAACATGTCTTTCCAGCTTGCTTTTGTTATCTGTAACGTTACTTTACTCCTTATTTTCTTTTTTCTCATAATAACTTTGTGTGGCATTTGACCTTGATACTTTGCCGTTGCTATTTTTCATATGGAATTAGTTTTCCTGAACTTTGAGAGGAAGGTAGCTTGTCTTACTCCACAAAACTCACTCTTCTGCTGTGTTCATGCAGCATTAAAAAAGGTGGTGGCTTGCTTTCTGATTTCCTGGCCCTATATTCCCTTCCCCTGTTTTTATCTGGACCTTTTTTTTGCCCTTCCCCTATTCTTATTCTTCTCTTGCTCAGTTTTTGAGTCCTCTGTTTGTGGTTTCTCCCTGGTGTGGGATCCCCTGCTGGAAGCAAAACCTGGAGGGCCAGCCCTTCCTGAGGACCCCTCATACCCACCCATTATTGAAGTGGCCAGAACCCATTATTGAAGTGAGCAAAACCCTCCCAGTTTTAGTTCCTGTCCTCGTATTGGCTAGACTCTCTTTCCAGTGACTACCTATGGGCTCCTTTGGGGTTCTCTTGTTGTCGAATCCATCACTTGCCCTGTTGCTTCCCTTTTCTTTCTCCTGCCTAGATGCTGAGAGCATGCAGATCTTGTGGCTCTTGGTGGTTTGTCCTTACCTGCTTGTATCTTGAGGTTTTTTTATAGCTGTCTTGTCACTTAGTTCTATAGTATATGCTGCCTGTGGATTTTTGGTTTTGAGATCTAGTTGCCCTCTTTTTATGTTGGGATTTGGAGAGATTCAGAAACTTTGCTGCCATCGCCACCATCTTCCCAGAATCTTTAAATTCACAAAGTTCCAGCATTTTGGCATTACAGGGGTTCTTACTCTCCAGAGAAGTAATCATCTAGTGACTGGATTTGGAAGCAGGGTTATGAGAACTCAGGTCTCCTGATGTGCCGACAAGTGTGGTCCTCCTACGTTGTGGCCACTCTCTGTGCCATTTGGAAGGTACTATCACTGTCCTCTTTCGGCGACATTTGTTGTCCTCTTTTTGTGTGACACCTTTAGAGATGGCATGGAGCAGTGAACTAATTTTGAATTATTAGTATTTTTCTGAGTGGTACCATACTAATTTGGTGTTCAAAATCATGTTTTTCTTAATTTGTGAAATGCTGTTCAGTTTCAATCTAATTTTCATGGAGTTGCATAGCTCTGAGGGTTTAATACAGTCATCGTGCTGTCTCACACAGGTCAGTGATTTATTCAGCAGGTGGTCCTTGCTCTCTACTCTGTGGAAGCCCTGCATCAGGTAGATGTTTTAGATACGACAGTGCACCAGACAGGCAGGCAGACAGGCATTCCCTACAGTGGGAGAAATGCCGTGTTAGAGAAAACAGTGGCTGCAGCAGGAACACATTACATGGCCTCTAACTTCTTTGGGGGTCAGGGAGGCCTTGTTAGCACTTGTAATAGAAGTCAAGGCCTGGAACTTTAGCAGGCACTGTCAGATGACTAGTAGGGTTAAGAGGACCCAGGTAGAGGGAACAGAATATGTAGAGAATCAAGAAAACTGAAACGGGGCGCCTGGGTGGCTCAGTTTAGTGGCCGACTCTTGATTTTGGCTCAGGTCATGATCTCAGGGTCTGGGATTGAGCCCTGCATCAGGCTCAGGCTGAGCATGGAGTCTGCTTAGGATTCTCCCTCTCCCTCTCCCTCCGCCCGCCCCCCCCAAGTGTACATGCACACACTCTCTTAAAAAAACAACATACACAAACAGAAAATTCAGGAATATATTAATAGTTATTGAAGCTAATAACCAAAATAATGACTGAAAGCAAGAAATAATGCTATAAATCAACTCACAAGGATACTTTTAAAGCAGTTGCCTTTTTTTTTTTTTTTTAAAAATTAGAGTACAAATTTGACTGTGGATATGGTAGAGGGGTAGATGGTTCTGTAAAGTGGCAGGTAAAATAATAGAATGGGCAAATGCATCTCTTGCATTTGTACATATGTTGCTTTAATTTTATTATAGGTAGTTTCTCTGTTTTTTAGATAATTGGCTAATTCCAAATTTTAGAATAATAATGTAGATAGAAGTGAGGAAGCTTTTGTGTTTTATGATTACTTAAAATATAGGTATTTCTTCTAAGACACTAGAATATTTGTATTTATTTTTTACGGACCGTAAGCTATAGGGCTAATTTATGTATTCTGTATTCAGTGTGGACTCACTATTACTTTTAGCATATTTTTTATATGAAAATATAACACAGTAAATAAAGTGATTTACCATAAAATTTTAAAAAGTGTTGTCTTACTAGTTTTCTTTACACAGGTAAGAGAAATCTATCAATATTTTGTATATCCGAAGTAAGAATCTAAGTGTGTAAAGTGTTTGTGTGTTTTATTTTTGAAAACTAGGTTGGTGTGTGATTTGCCTTCCATTTAAACGTTAGAATTGACTTAGTTTCAGAGCTGGTGCCCAGAGTTTCCCACAAAAGGTTTCCTGCATCTGCTGACTGTTGCTGATAAGAGTCCAGTGTTTAAGCCTTTTGTTTATCTGAGGAAATTCCTGTTAGGTGTGTGCACATTCCCCTTTGTTTTCAGTATTAGCCTTAGTAAGTCTGGCCATAAGAATCTTACACAACACTCTATTCTTTCAGCAAAATCCTTTTGCAGATGGGCGATACTTTTCTGCGTGTAAGTAAGATGGGCATGAGCTAATCAGAATCTGTTGACCACTACTCTGTATGAACCAAAAGATTTTTCATTTAATGATAAGCTGCTTAATTGGTTTAAAAAATAACATCCGTGCACATCATTTGGAAGATGTTCTTCACTGGAAGTACTGTTTTGGCAGTATGAAATAAATTTATTGTAAATATGTCTGATTAAGTTTGAAGAAGACTTTGAAGTGGATATTTGATGAGTTTTATTTAAGTATGTTTTGGTGGTATTTGAATGTTTTTCCTTTCTGATATCCACTGTATCCAAAGCTACAAGTATAATCTGTTCAGTATTTAGAGGCTGAGGTTTTCAGTTTCAGTTAAATCACACCTGCTATTACAGCCAAAACTGTTGTGCCCAAGGAAGTATTCCGGCAGCTGTGCATTGCCATTTTCCACCAGGAAAGCTTTACACAGCCTTTGATTCTTGACCTCCCGTCAGGAAATGGTTTTGGGAAAAACCAGTGACAAATTTTCTTGCTTGTGTGAAAGAACAGTAAATAATCTTTTCTGAACAATTTATTACTTATGTCACCTTTTGTTTGTTTAATCAAACAGACATCAATGATAACCGTTTTCTCTTTGAAAGTGTAAAAAGTCGTTTTTCACCGTTTGTTTTGGAAAATTTATGGTTTCTTAGCTAAACTGAATTCTTAGAATAAGATAGGTTTATTACTTATGTAAATATTTACATAGATTGATATTTGTAAGAAATTTTCAAAAATTTTTGTGTAAGGGAAGAAAATAGAGAAATTAAGCTTCTTTGCTTTAAAACATTTTAATTCTTTAGATAGATTCCACCAAAAACTCATCTCTCATTTCAGGCCTTTGAAGACCTCAGCAAGCTCATGATCAAGGTATGTGTAATTTACACCTATTGAATTCCTCCCAGTTATGATATGAGTTTTGTTAGGAGACACTTCAGGGACATGACTTCTTTCAGTCTTTTACTGTTCTCTTGACAGGCTAAGGAAATGGTGGAGTTATCAAAATCAATTGCTAATAAGATTAAAGACAAGCAAGGTGACATCACAGAAGATGAGGTAAATAGGTTGCCTCTTTAAGGCATTAGAAACGAGATTAGACAAATAATGCAGTGATGTTTTGGTGGGTTAGCAGTTTCTTTCTTAATGTAGTGACTTCTGTTAGGGCTTGTGGATAGATGAGAGTATTAAAGAAAAAGTCAACCAGTAGGATTAGAAGGCACTTGAACACCTTCTTTGGGAGTGTGGAAAAGAGAGATACTGAAATGTGTAAGGAGTGGTTGTTTTATACATATCCATATGTTTGATACTTGTTTCATTAAATTTGTCTACACTCTGGTCACAGCCATGTTCCTTTCTAAGTTTTTGGCTTTATCATTTGGTTGGCCTTAAATACAGCACAGTTGCTACCTAAACCTCTTCTCACACCGAACTTGTGAGGTCAGTGGAGTATGAAATATCAAGATGAGAAGGAAGAAGAAGAATTAATTAGCTTTATGCAGGGAACTACTAGAAATCCACTTTCTTAGAGTTTACGCTATAGAAACAAGGTAGAAGAAATGGGTGGATATAGAAATAATTGAGTAGAATTGAATTTATGATAGAAAGATTTCAAAAGTTGGGGTGGCGAGACTAATGCTGCTTATTTGTCCTTTTGTGCATTTTCTTCTCTGATTATAGACCATCAGGTTTAAGTCCTATTTGCTGAGCATGGGCATCGCTAACCCAGTTACCAGGGAAACGTGTGGCTCTGGCACACAGTACCACATGCAGCTGGCCAGACAGCTGGCTGGAATACTGCAGGCGCCGCTAGAGGTAAAAGCAAAACCTAAGTGGTCTCTCGGTTGTGTTAAATAATTGCCAAGTCTTCAGAAATCTTAACGCGAGTTTAACTCCTTTCACAGTGTGGCTACTATTCAACCAACATGTTATTTTTTTCTTTCAGGAATATTAAATCATTTTGGTGTACTTATTAGTGGATTTGTTGTCAAAATCTAGATTGTTTTCAATTTCCATTTCAGATATCTGTAACTCCTTAAATCTATTTGACAGGAAGTTTTTCTTATCTCTTGTTTTCAAAAGGAAATACATGATCTCTAGATGTTTATATATATTCCTATATATCAAATCTTAATATAAGTGTACTGTTAATCATTTCATAATACAGATTTATCTTCTGACATTACTCAGGCAATCAAAACTTCATTTATTAAAAAAACTTCTATTATGAAGTATTTCCGTCATGACAAAATAGAATAGTATAATGTATCCCTCCGTGCCTATCATCCAGGTTCGTGTGTAAGCAGCCTTCACTCAAAATTACTTTAAGGCAATCCCAGACATCACATTCCTTTGTAAATTTTTCAGTATGTAATTACAATGATAAAGATGCCTTTAAATGTAATTATAATCCCATTTCACACAGGAAAAGTTAAAAATAGTTTTTTAGTATTATCAAATATATCGTTAGTAGTCACATTTTCTCTTACAGTTGGTTTGTTCAAATCAGGATACCTTGCAATTGGTTGATTTGTCTCAAAGTTTTTTGTTTTTTTTTTTTAATTCCATAGGTTTCCCCTTCTCCTATCTCTTTTTTCTCTTCCATACAACTTATTTATTGAAGAAACTAGTGGTTTATTATAGAGTGTCTCAGAGTCTGGATTTTATTAATTTGTGTTTTAACATACTTCCCTGCTCCATGTATTCCATGGAAGTTATATATATTCCAGACTGCAAGTTATATCTAGAAGTTCTTCTTTCCTTTTTTCTGATGCACATATCATAGAGGGTGCTGTGCATTTCCATCAGGAGGTACATAATGTCTGTCTTTTTGGTGATGTAGCAGCAGCTACTAACAGTATCTAGATCTGTTATTCATTTGGGGTTACAGTGGTGATATTCCTATTTAATTCCATGATTTATTCATTTATTAGTTGTAATAACTTAAAACATTTAAATACACTTTTTGAAACATGGTGTAGAGGCCCTCATCTCATTTAAGTAAATGTTAAAACAGTTAATGATGTTAAAGTCCAAATACTGAATTTGAAATGCTTCATGTATCTGACTAGGTTTTCCTCTGTATAAATTTAGTTTTTAAAGACTTCTTAGGAAGTTTTATGATTCCTGATTTCACTCTGATTATGATCTCTGTTAAGAAATGCCAACTGGTGCTCATTATAACATAATACTTTTTAAATTCCATATTTTAACAGGAACGAGGGGGAATAATGTCACTCACGGAGGTGTACTGTTTAGTAAACCGAGCTCGAGGAATGGAAGTAAGAATAGAACATTTAGATATTCTTTTAACTAAATATAGACTTTCTTAATATAACACACATTCCCCAAAGTGAGTACAATTTGAGGAAGGGTTGAGAATATCAAAACTATTTGAGAAGCAGTGTGGTGTAGTAAAAGAATACTGCCTTGGGATCTAGGAGGTAGACTCTGTCCCTTGTTTTGCCAGTGATGTGCTGAGTGATGTTGAGGAGCTTACTTAACCTCACTGACACTCGGTTTTCCTACCTTTAAAACAAGGATTCGGATTGACCGATACCTTCTGGCTTTAATATTCTGTGTCTGTACTGTGATTAGTGAGCTTGGGTATGATCCTTTTCTCTGTGATTGTCAACTGTTCTGGATTCCCTGGGTTGGATACAGATGGTCTGTAGAGAAACGGGGGGAAAGCTGCCCTCCTCCTCTGGCTCTGAATCAGCAGTGGCTGTTTTTCGACCCTCATTGTCCCTTCATGCCCACGTGTCCTTGGCCCCCCGAGTTCTGTCCCTGCACTCAAGCCCTTCAGTCAGACACAGTTCTGTGGCATCAGTCGTCCCCTCTGTGCGAACAGTGGATACGCATGTCTGTGCAGCGCCACCCGCAGAGCCGGGAGTTGAGGCTCCGCTCTGTTTTTATTTGAACTGTCGTCGTGGCTGCCGTCAGGGAGTCCTTACCGTCTGCGCTCTGCACACATTACCCCATTTCTTCTCGCAGTACCTCAGCGACGTAGCTGCTTTCCCTCTCCCCACCCAGGGCATGGTGTGAGGATGAGGAAGCTGAGGCTCACAAAGGTTCAGTTATCTGACCAAGGCTGCGCCCGGAAACAGTGGTCTGACAGGCGTTTGGGCCCAGGCTGGGCTGGTTCCGGAGCCATTCTGTGTGACTCAAAGTTGTACTCGTCAGCCGCCACACGGGCTGGTTCTTTAAGGTTGCGTGGTCTGGAAGGGTGGCCACTAGCTAGCTACATGTGACAACTGTGACCTTGCAATACAGTTAATCCAAACTGAGGTTTGCTAAAAGTGTAAATTACACACCAGATTTAGAAGACTTCATAAAGGGGCGCCTGGGTGGCTCAGTAGGTTAAGCGACTGCCTTTGGCTCAGGTCATGATCCTGGAGTCCCGGGATCGAGTCCCTCATCGGGCTCCCCGCTCAGCGGGGAGTCTGCTTCTTCCCTCTGGCCCTCCCCCCTCTCGTGCTCTCTCTCTCATTCTCTCTCTCTCTCTCTCAAATAAATGGATAAAATTAAAAAAAAAGACTTCGTACAGAATATGAAAATTAAATATCTTGTTAATAATTTTTATATTGATTTTATGTTGATGTTTTAGATCTATTGGGTTAAGTAAAATACATGTATTAAAATTAATTTCACCTGTTCCTTTTTATTTTATTAATATGACTACTGGAAATTTAAAATTACATATATGGGGCTTGCATTGTCTTCTGTTGGATAGCACTGCTTTGTTTCTTTGTTATTTCTTTTTGCCTTATAGTGATGAAGTCACCTAAAATCCCTGATAAATGATAATTTTTACATTTTTATTTAAAACAATTTTTTGAAATAGACTTCATGCCCAACATGGAGCTTGAACTCATGACCCTGAGATCAAGTCACAGATAAATGATAATTGTTAAATTTCCTCTTCTGTTCTAGTGATCATTATAATTATATAGCATCACTCTATTAATTTGCAGTGTAAACTGGATTTTTTTTCCTATTAGTTGCTCTCACCAGAAGATTTAGTGAATGCGTGCAAGATGCTGGAAGCGCTAAAATTACCTATCAGGTAAAAGAACCTCTGTGGGAAGCTTGCCAACTAGAGCCACGGTTCCATACAGAGTAGACAGGAAGGGCCTGCCGGGCCTGCTGTCTGCGTGGTGAGCCAACCTATTGCCCCTCTTGGAATTAAACGAACAGAATTCACTTGTCGTCTGGCTTCCCGCCTTACCAGGGCTGGTAGTGCAAGTCTTGTTGATTTGGGGGCAGTGACAGAAGATTGTCGGCTCTTCCTAGGAGGTCAGAATAAGCAGCCCCTCTGCTAGACATCTTGTTAGTTTCTGGAGAGTTCAAAAGTACAGATGTTCAGCTGTGAATTATATTTTCCTCTCCTCAGGTTAAAAAAAAAAGTGCCAGACATATTTTCTTGAGCATGTGGTATATTATAGTTCATACTTTGATTAAATATTTATTCACCAGCTTTTTAGTTATGCTGTAGTTGCTTGTGGTTGTTATGTGTTAAATATTGCCCTGATATCCAGACATAAAAGAAAGCACAGGATCTTTGCACCTCCTTAGTGGTTGAAGATCCTAGATATTCACAGCTTTGTTCTCCCATCTGTCATTTTTAGGCTCCGAGTTTTTGACAGTGGCGTCATGGTAATTGAGCTTCAGAGCCACAAGGAAGAGGAAATGGTGGCCTCAGCCTTGGAGACAGTATGTGAACCCCGTTTCCTCCTCATCAGTCTGCCCACCGAAACCTGAATGCTTAGCAACTTGAGAAACAGGATTTCCTTTTGAATTTAACTTTACTAAAAAGTAATGTTTGTAGACCCAATTAAAAACACCTATTATTAATAGTGAATAAATACTAATCAAAATTACACTTTTCAAACTTTTGAAACTTACCAAGGAGAATTGGAATTCGTGAGGTGCTCTTTTTGTTTGAAGCTCAGTCCTGCGGACAGGTTTTTAACTTTGTTAATTGGAATGTTACCTGTGATGGAACTTTTTCTTTGAGTAACACCTATGTAAGCAGTATTATGAAACATCACAAGTTGTTTTACCAAATAATTGCTTCAAAAAATATGAAAAGCAACTGTAGTTTAGATGGATTTTACTGGACAAACTACTGCTATTACTCATTAGGAGACTGGAAATACTACTGCCTTCATAGCCTCTGTGGTAAACCTGTTTAATTTGAATAACTCATATTTATTACACTTATTTTAAACTAGATGAAAACCTCAAGACTATTGGTATTTCTACCATATATTTTAAGCTAAACCTAATATAAGGTTCCTTTACTGGAGCATGAAGTAGGCACTCAGAATTTGTTATATGTTCCTTTTCAGAATCTCAAAGAGTTCTTCTTAGGGTTCAGTATAGTGCCTTTGTTACATTCTAGAGGGCTTCACGATATTTTAGGCTCTACTACGTTTTTCTCGATCCTTCAGCATTTGTAGATTTAAACATTAGTGAAGAAGATTTAGTTCTATAGTAAATATTCTTTGGATTTTAGTAAGAAATTCAGTAAATTACTTCCTGAGTACGCTGGTAGACACCCTCCCTAGGTTAGTACCTAGGTGGCCTGAATTATCACATTTTTTCCCTGCTGTGTTTCTTTTAGGTTTCAGAAAAGGGATCCCTGACATCAGAAGAGTTTGCTAAGCTGGTAGGAATGTCTGTCCTCCTGGCTAAGGAAAGGTAAGTGAGGTCCTTGCTCTTCATTACAACTGTATTTGTGCTTCCGAATGGACAAATGATTGTGGTGTTTCCCCTTGATTCCTAGGTTGCTTCTGGCAGAGAAGATGGGTCATCTTTGCCGAGATGATTCAGTGGAAGGCTTGCGGTTTTACCCAAATTTATTTATGACACAGAGCTAAGGGTTTTGTATTTCAAATACTTCTTGTTCGTGTACTTGTATCACATAGACGTTGTAGGACATTGAGCTCAGAGTAAACCCTGATAAACTGAGAATTTCTGGAACTTTATACTATAATATAAAACCCTTTTAATTGCTCCCTAAATATTATGGTCCAGGAAGTTTACTTGGGATAAATAGAGGAAAATACAGAAAATTGAATGCCACTATGAATTTGAAATCATGCTACCCTCAGAGTTTAACTTGAAATATGGTGGATTTTAACTTGATTCTCAAACCTGACCTTTTCTTTTTTTAAAGACGGGAGTTTAGTTAATGGGGAGGAAAGAAGTTGCATGTTTGGACAGGTTAGATCATTTTTCTGGTGTGACTAAAATTCATTGAATTATAAACAAAGTTTTTCTCTGCATCTAATATGCCCGTTTTTGGGGGCAGGGTGGTAGTTCATGAAGCCAGTCATACCTACAATGTAGCTTAAGAACTGACAGCATTGGGACAGAACATCAGACTGCAGAACACCATATGAGGCTCCTTTCCTAAGGGCTTTTCTTTAGAAGCAGTCATAAGCATGTCTTCAACAGATACCTTAAAAAAGGAGAAAACTGTATTTAACTTATGTATATATAATCTGACTCGTTCTTTTTTTCAAGTGATGATTTCACGGCTGGCGTTTAAAGAATGCAACTATCTCATTTTGTTTAAAAAATGCTGTGGATTTTGAAACTGAATTAACGAGCTGTATAGACACGCCCAGAGATATGATTACAAATTTGGAAAGTAGACGGCTGAGGAATTCCCTAGGATTGTGTGGGTGGGTGGAGGGGTCGGGAGAACCTTTAAGTAACTTAACAGAAACCTTGGTGCTCTTTGACCTCGAAAGCCAGGGACAGGAACAAAGAAGGTAGACAAGTAATCTGTCTCCTTTTCCTCCCCTTAAGGAGTTTCAACAAGGAACTTTAAAAAATCTTTCATCTTCCAGCAATATTATTTTTTCTTTACCCCATACGTTAGAAGTTGTGTAGAGAAACTATCTCACTGAAGAGTATTCCCGAGATGACAAAAACTGGCTAATATTGAATGTAGGTTGCTTGAGCTCTAAAGTGGACTGCCGGACTTCGTAAGTTACTGCTGCCCAGCGTGCCATGTGTCGGTATTACCTCAAACTCAGGGACCCCCCAGGGACAGAAGGAGACTCCCCTTCTAAGACTGTGTTGAAAATGGAAAGCAGTGATGGTTTTCCGCCAAGCCTCCAGAAGGGATAGTGTCTGTATTAAGCTAACTGTTGTGACCAGCAGGAGGGGATGCCCTGGCTCACGCGCTGGGATCCCAAAGACGTTGGTTGTCACTGGGTGTGGTGGAGGCCACCACCGGAGGCCACAACAGATGCCCTGTGGGGCAGTTGCATAGTCCCTGCATCCTCCAGCATCATGGGAATGTCTTGGCTGAGGCCTCCTGCCTGTCTTCATTTTCCAAACCTGTCCCTGATTCCACAGTGTGATGACACAGCCCTTCCTTTCCTCATTGCTCAGCCGCAGGTTTGTTTCGGGGGAATTCAGTGTCTGGCTGCCCGTGTCTCGCGGGCCATTGTGCAAACTTGTTTGTATAGCACTCCTGTTTCTGGGTTGTGCTCACACTGCTCTGGCAAACGTGTACACGCATGTTCGTATACACATGCATACACACACACACGGTATTCTCATCCAGCTAAGGCTTTTAAAAAATTACAAAGGTAAAAATCTGTTTCAGCAGTTGGAATGAGTTGCAACTAAGATTGAGCTACCGGGTCTAGCTCTTACGATTTGGATTCATTATAGCGAACTCCCACAGTTCAACATATTTATTTACATTAGTGTGACAACACATTAAAAAAAAATGGAGCAATCTAAATTGTATAAAGTGAGCTAAAGAGGAAGAAAAGTGACATATGAATATATTTTGCAAATGTTACATTAATTTAAAAAAAAGTATGATTTTACTGTTTTACTTAAGTGGGCATTCTTCACTGTTTCCAGACCTCTGTATATTTTTTATCCCCCCTTTTTTTTGCCAAATAAGGTGTTACAGAGGTTATGTTTAAATACAACCAATCAGGCCCTAAATGCAAAAAAAATTCATCTTGGTGCTCATCACTGGTATAATTATTTTTGCTTTATTAACTTTGCTCTTAGGAGCAAAAATTTGTTTGTAGCTTTACAGTAATGGAATTTTTCTAGTCACTGTCAAAAATTTTTTTACATTGTACAAGTAAAGATTGTTTTCAGGGTTAAATGATTGGAATTAATGTATATAGAGTAAAATTACTGGAAAACTTTTAAATGATTTTCTGAACTTGGTGTTCTTTTTAAAATACTCTTTGGAAAATATATGAAAGTGATAAACCTTTAATGAGAATAAGCCAGTATGTTAAGAATTTTTTCCTTATTTATGACCTCAAGATCTTACTGTTTTAGTTTTTTAAAAAGAAAACAATGGGAAATGGCTCATGAACTGTTTGGGGTTTTTTTTGTTTGTTTGTTTTAATTCTTGATGTGAATTCCATTGTTGACTGACCTTGTGTATTCATATGAATGTACTATCTCTTGTTCCCTTTAACCAGACTAGCCTGAGCAGACATGGATTTGTCATGTCTTCATTCTCATGCTCTGCCCAGCAATCTCAGCATTTTCATTTTGGTATGGTAGAGTCACAACTCATAAGCTGGTTAGATTTTTAGACGTGCCTCGGAATTAAATCAAGCATGCTCAAAATGATCCCTGAAAATTTCTGAAATTGCCAATGAAGTTCTCTGTGTAGTCTTAAAATTAGAATCCCTGTAGAGTGATACACGGATATGAATATATTATGAATATAGTAAGTTTACTATATACAATATACAGTAAAAATTACATAGCGTCAGTAGACTTTTATAACACCAATAATTAAACTATCTAAATGTGTGTCCTTTTTTGTTTTTGTTTTTTGGCCACTAGGTATGCTTGAATTTATGTAAATTTCTTGCTCATCCCACCCCTTATGATAGATCTCGTGTAAACTCCACAAGGGGAGAGATTTTTATCTGGTTTGTTCGTGGATATATCCTCAGAGCCTAGAACAGGGCCTGGCACACAGTAAGCATTCAATAAATATTAACTGAATGAATGAACTCTGATGTATATACCTATTTATAACCTGGCTCCATTTATCCTACTTTATCTCCCATTCAATTCAATAAAAAAAAATTTTTTTTAAATACATATTGACTGCGTGAGGAACTATGTGGGCCACTGGTGGTGGTGATGGGCAAAATGAATAAGATACATCCCCTGCCTTTAAGAGGGTGGCCTAGTTGGGCAAAGAGACATGTGAACAGTGTTCCCTGAAGATGGAATGAGGTGCTTGTCACGGAAGCGGCACAGGTACTGTGCTGGGCAAGGCAGGAGGGAGGATCCTTTGGTTCTGATGAAGGGATCTGGAAAGGCCGTGTGGGAGAAGAGCCTCATACACGAGGCTCACAAGGACCAACAAATTGTCAGCAGGTGGAAGGCAATGGGTTAGGGGAATAACATGAGGCATGCCCCTTCCTATTCCTGGGGCATATTTCCTTGGACTGTGCAGACTTGCCTTTCTTTACTTTTCCGCATTCACTTACCACCTCCAGCCCAATAATCAGAATCGTACTTTGCTCATTCCCACCCGCTTTAGAAAAATCTGTTTCCAGTACACAGTTCCGTAATAGTTATGTCCCATTTGCATGACTATATTTTGTCTTGATACCATAAGAAATGAGGAATTGGGTTTCTTAAGTTCAAGAGCTGTTATATAACTGTGAAGCTTTTAAATCTCTTCTGACCTAGGTCAATAGATTGTACATGGTAGATTCCTAGTTAAGTATTAACTGAATACTTGAGCAATTTTTGGATTATAATGTGTCATGAATTGACTCACAAACCTAAATCTGTGTCCTTTACCATCTGCTCAAGAGGCTTCTCAACCAGACTTGTCAGGGCTCAGCCTGTCTGAGATACTCTGTCTTATTCAAATTCCATGACATGGGGCATATCTATGATGTGGGAAGCACTCCAGAAAAGTCAGGTTAACACACATGTAAGATCTTATTATTACAGTGTGAAAATTGGGTCATTCGTGTTCTTCTTTGAGTCCTGGTAATCATGAGTCAGTTAAAGCTTTTCTCTCAGAGCATGATCTAAGGAAATAAAGGATCTCTCCAAAGGATACTATCAAGATAGTGAATATGTTTACAATTTGTCCAAGATTATGAGACCAGTCACTGACCCAGAAAGAATTAAAGCTACCTTGACAGCAGCTTGTTTTAGTTAATCCCAAGACCATGGAAGCTTTTTTCCCTTCATGTTTACGCTGCCTTCTTTTAGAAATAATTATGTCTTAAATGTGCAATAAAGACAGAAATACAGTTTGGCAAGAATTCTAATTAAGGCAAAAATGTCCAAGCACATTGATCCAGCCTCTTGTACTTGGATTTAGGTCCTCCCAAGTCCCAGAGGTGGATTTCCAGGGAGAGCATGTCTGAAAGCTTAATGCAGAGCAAGTTGCTTTCTCTATGTTTCACTTAATCACCACAAAACTTTGGTTCAACTATTATATGCCTTTTACAGTGGAGGAAAGAAGCGATTATTTGCCAAGGTTACTGAAGTGGGGCTAGAATTAATCTTAGCTTTCTCTAACCCCAAAGCCCCACTCTTTACATTGAGCTTTTGCTTTCGAAACTGCCAAGGACTGTGGCATATATTTGAAAAGAAATCTCAACTTGGGCTGATGAATGGACATTGGAGTAGATAATTCTGTCATTAAAGCCTTGGGTAGATTTAATTAGTACTGCTAGTATTAATTATTGGACAAGATAAGTACTTAGCAAATTTGGTACCTCTGACAACCTCTGGTAACTGTCAAGTAATTGTGCTATCTTTTAAAAGATTAAGTGATAGATTCAAAAACCAGCAAATACTATATTTTTAAGTTTTAAAAATTGAGGTAAAATTTACAGTGAAATGCACAGATCTTAAGTTGGAGGCGTTTTAACAAAGGCATAATCCATGTAACTCAGCACCCCGGCCAATAGAACATATCTGCCATCCCCCAAAGTTCCCTGAAGCCTCTTTCCAGTCACCTGCTCCCTAGAGGCCACCACTATTCTGATTTCTATTACCACACACTGGTGTCGTCTGTTAAACGGTATATTTTGTGTAAAAGAAAAGCAAATGGTAAACTGTATTCACAAGACTGTACTGAAAAAGCACGGCTGTGAAGGTGGAACGCTATCCTTCCAGCATTCTTTTAAAAAGACAACTTCAACACTTGGGAATTAAAAGTTTTTTAGGTGTCATTTTTTAATTTAACCAGCTCTGGCTGCGGAGAAAGAAAAACCGAAACGAAGACGCACTTTACCTGAACTGTTCTCTTTTGAGAATCTTCAAGGACATTTGGGAAAACCCAAGTTTACAGCCCACCAGTTAGGCCACTCAGATGAGTTACTTTTGTGGTCCCCCAGAAGAAATGACTCCG